CATCCTTCCTTCCATCTATCCTTCCATCCATCCTTCCATCCTTCCTTCCTTCCATCCATCCATCTATCCTTCCATCCATCCATCCTTCCATCCATCCATCCATCCATCCTTCCATCTATCCTTCCATCCATCCATCATCCATCCATCCTTCCATCCTTCCTTCCATCTATCCTTCCATCCATCCTTCCATCCTTCCTTCCTTCCATCCATCCATCTATCCTTCCATCCATCCATCCTTCCATCCATCCATCCATCCATCCTTCCATCCTTCCTTCCATCTATCCTTCCATCCATCCTTCCATCCTTCCTTCCTTCCATCCATCCATCTATCCTTCCATCCATCCATCCTTCCATCCATCCATCCATCCATCCTTCCATCCTTCCTTCCATCTATCCTTCCATCCATCCATCCATCCATCCATCCATCCATCCATCCATCCATCCATCCATCCATTTTTAGCCCTTCTTCCTGTTTCCTCCAGAATATAACCTAAATTATTGTACCATAGATGTATTTGTTATCTGGAATAACTTTGTTGTTTTCTCTGAACACACCATCACTGAGTGGAGCTTTTTTAAGCTCTTATTTAAAAAAGTAAAATAACTGAACAGTGACTAAACTTCAACATGATTTTGAAACTAAAACAACCTGCCAGTTTCCCTCRCATCATCTCAGAGTTGCCCTTTTCTGAAACAAATATCAACAAACAAAGACCTCAAAGAAGTGCGTTGTCGTTCAGGGAACTCCTCAGATCCCCCACCTATAAGAAGGTTTTGTATTTGGTGTKTAGCACTGGTGGAATTCTTAGGAAAAACACAATTCAAACACAACAAAAACACATAGGACATGCCAGACTTGTGTAAAATAATAAAACCAGCTCTTAAACACAGCGTGTCTTACTCTGAAGGTGTTCTTCATTGAGGCTCCACTCAAATTGTCCTTTTATGTCTCTTCTGTATTTAAGGATGCAGTTAAATCCTGCTGGTGCTTATAGCACCCAAAGACCTGCCAAAGCCAATACTATACAAGCACAAATAACTTTAGCGAGACATTAAACAAAGTGAAAGTAAATCATCTGAGCTTCACAACTCAGCCAGCATCTTTCTCTGACCTCATACCCAGGCATGTATTGACTCTGGCTGGAACGAGAGGATTTGACCTGCTTTATTACTCTGCAGCAGCAGAGCTGAGTGTCCATCAGCCAATACTTATGATGTCAGATGTTTGTATGTTTTGCAGGGTGAGTTGTTGCAAACTTCAGGTACAGGCGCAGTAACTCGACGACTCTCGCACAGAAATACTGCTCTGAATTTAAAGGAAAAGGGAAGAAGTAAAGGTTATTTGGACGAAAGTTAGAGCGACACTAAACGCTAAATAAATGATTTAATTGATGTGTTTGTGACTCCTGCTGGCAAAACGAGTCAAAGCATGCAGGCTAGTTAAAAAAAAACATGAAAAATATTAATTTTCGCAACTGAGATTTGCATAAAAATGATTTTTATAAAAACCTCTGACACAAGACCGGCACCTTCTGTGTGGGCCGAGGCGGCAATGGAGGTCGATGCCAACCCACCCCTGATGTGCCTTTTTGCCACAAAGTAACAGAGCTAAAACATGATGAGTTTAAACGGAAAAGTAAAAAAAAACTATACTGCAGCTCAGTAAAAGTGATGAAGTAATGATCTGTGTGACCACCCAACAACAGGGTTGAACAACAACAAACGTCTTTCTGTTTCACACCTCGCTCGGTGCCTTCGGCCATGACGGATCACGGAAGCTCCAATATCACCAACCATGGGCTTGGCACCATGACTCTAGTCCCTGCCAACACTACCACTCTATGACACAGTGGATTTTACAAAGACGTCCTGAGTGTCGGCATCCTCAGAGCCTGACCCCTGCTTCTTTGAGACGGTAGTGGTAAAACCAGTGGTAAAATGAGCGCCTAAGGTGGAATCAGCGCTGCAAGGTCAGCCTCTCGACTTGGAGGACGAGGTGGACGTGAAYAGACCATTTCGTTGTTAGAAATGATCACAAATGCGCAAAGCGGGCCAACCTCATGTTTATCTGGAAAAGCTGAGCTTGCTATGGAAACACGRTTGTTATTGCACAAATTCAACAGGCAAATGTATGCAGTTAAACATACCCGATTTACTCTGAACAGATTTGTGTTGAACTTTAGGAGCGTAGGTGAGAATTTTCATAAATATCTAAGCTATAGATGTGCTTTTTGAATTTGCACAATTACAATGTTATTTTATTTATTTAACCAGGCAAATCCCTTTGAGATCACAGATCTTTTTTTCAAGGGGGGCCTGAAGGCAACTTATTGTACATATTTTTGGGGGTGGGGGAAACCGGAGTACCTGGAGAARACCCACGCAAGCACGAGGAGAACATACAAACTCCGCACAGAAAGATCCCTGATCTGAACCGGGGATCGAACCCAGGACCTTCTTGCTGTGAGGCGTCGGTGCTAACCACTGAGCCATCCTGCCGCTTTAAAAGAAACCTCAGCGTTTACCCAGTTGAGCCAGAAGAGCYAGGCTTCGCTGTGCATTTGTGAYACATTTCTAACWAMRAAATGGTCTATTAGGACCTCCTAGATCATGGTTGTCATTAACTTCAACTTTYATTTTTAATATTGTCTAAACACGTAACATCACGTTTCCCATCTCACTGTTACGGCTGAGCACCGCTAACAAACAATAACTGAGCTCTACCTGGTATTCCTTGCATAGGAACAGCGTTTTAATATGTMCTCTTATAAACACCTAAAAGTACTACGTGTACGATTGACTAAATGTGAAATAAATACAGAAATACTATTTAAAAATAAAATTAAGATAGTTTCGTCTGCCACTTAAATGTCCCATTTGACCTTTGTGTCGTATTGGAAGAGGACAAGGATGACGATGAGAACACCAGTCAATGATGACGAGCTACAGTTTTGTATTTAGTTTAAAAAAATAGTTAAACACAACAATGATCGCTAAACTGAGTCAACCCAGATGAGTTCTGCTCCATAAAAATGACATTAAATTAGATTTCTGCAGAAACATTGTACTTGTACGATGAAGGTGCGTTTCTTTCTGTTTTCGTATGTTTCAGATTAATTTGTGGCTCTTCAGTTGTTAAAGCTAAGTCAATATTTCCCTGCGGAAACTATTTTTTCCCCTCTACCTTTGTTCTAAATAAACAGCAAGCAGAGCAGCTGGCTGTAGTTAGAAGAAATAAGTGAGTAAGAGGGGTGTTTATCTGTTAATACATGATGAGGGAAAYATTTTCCTGAGGTCTCGCTGACAGCCGCGTCGTAGCGGTGCGGGCGCGAAACGAAACGACAGATCGGTGCGTTGTGGCTCAAGCATCCCAGCTATGTTCCTGCAGCGAAACAAGAATGTGAGCTGTGGAGAAAACATTTAAAGCTAAGGTCAGAGCTGATGTTTCAGGGGGGGCCGCTGAGGGGGAATCCAGAGAGAAGTGTTGAATTTTTGGGGCTCGCAGTCATCGCAGCACATTTACCAGTCGCACTATATCAAAGCCCGCCTTGTTTACATAATCCTACACAAAGTCTGGTTTTTATTACCTCGAGAAACCGCAGCCATCTGTAATTTATATCAGTTTGCTTTTCAAAAAAGCCCTTCTGATTAATTTAGGCTTTTATTGTGTTTCTCCACGGAAAGCAGAGATGTTTAAATTAAATGTAATAGCATTTGACATGGGAAATGGGCAGTAAAGGGACCTGGGGATGATAAATGGTAGATATGAAAAGAATTTTCTTTTTTTCCTTTTTTTAAATTTTTTTCAAATAGCTGGTCAGATGCAAATATAGACTACATTTGGGGCCCAGAAGGAGTCAGTATCTCTTGTTTATGAAGCCCACCAAATTCCGGCCAGGAGAAACCGAGGCTGCTTGGCTCCTCGGAGACCAATACGCTGCAGTCCATCATCCAGGAAAGCTCCCAGGAGTCGTGAAACGCAGAAATAGAGGGAGCTCTTTGAAGGCAAAAGAAGGAGGGAGTCAAAAACCAAACTGGTGATGGGGGGTTGGGGGGGGGGGTTTCGGCTGCATATCTACTCTGAAAGCTTCAGCTGTCTCTCTCCCTTCTCGTCGGCTCGGCTGCACTGACTCATTCGTTTCCACGTTGAGTCAGAGCGTTCGTGGCGACTCAGCACATTCTTTCTTGCAGCGACGGATGCAGCTCTGCAAAAATGATCAGGAGGCATCTGGATTACACCGTCGGAGGTGGAAAACACTTTTATTTTGGTCAATTTAAAAAGGAAATTCAAAGGATTATCAAACAAATCACTATTTCTGAAAACATCTGTTGGAAAACTTCGACTCCAAAGCAGATTAGGAAAGAATATTTGATATTTTAATTACTTAATTTAGTTATTTGTAGTGGTGTCTCGATACCAAAAGGTATTGTGGTGTCCCGATACTGATAATGGTTTCTTATCGGCACACCACTATAAATACACTGTTAACAGTATCTGGTACCAGTATCAATGTCAGGCCTGAAATGTACACTGTAACACATTAAATATATCAATACTGGGACTGATGACAATACCAATATCAATAGTGATATCAACACATCATTAAATGTATATTACAGTTGACATTTCAACAGTGGTGGGCACTGCTAACCAAAAAGTTCACTAACGACTAATCCACTAAACAAGAATCTTAGCTCTGCTAATGCTAATCTGCTAAACGGATAAAAAAAATGGTGGAAGCTAACGCTAATCGTTAAGACGACTGTCACTCAGTCTGTGTCACTATTGGTTTAATTTGAAGGTGGGCAGGATCTTCTGTGGAAAATCCTCCAATCCAAACCAGTTACAGCTCTAACTTGTGTTACTTCTAGTTTACCCCTTTCAGAATAAAAGCATTTCTTTGATTGCCTTTGTATTTTTATAAATACAGTTTAAATTGAAATTAGTCAAACCACAAATATCAAATACTTTCTCTACGATATTTTATTTATAGTCAATTTTTATTCATTAATTAAAAAAATGTTAATTTTCTTTTTCTTTTTGATGCTTTTAGTTTGAAGTTTAGTTGCTTAAGATGCTATGTGCGCCACACAGTACCTGACAAATCCAGCACTGCTGGTAGGAAGGGATCCTTTTTATTTAATTTGGGATAAACGACATAAAAATAGAAGTTTTACACTTGTGAATTTTTTAGTTCACTTAAAGTTTGTGGAACCTAGTTTAGCGAAAGCTAATTGGTACGCTAACAGTTTCAAAAGTTAGCAAAAAGCTAATTCGCTGAGTAAAAAGTACAAGTTATTCATCCCAATAGTCTGAAATGTCATATTATATGTCATATATATTTACTTTCACAGAAAACAAACTTTTTTTATTTACCTGGAGAGTTTGGTTTTATAAATGTGATACATATTAAGTGGCATGTGTCATATTAATTACTGTTTTTTTAAAAGAAAACATCAATGTTTTATTTTATAAAGATGACTGTTGTAATTCTTGGTAACTTGAATAAGATTTGAAAAATCCACTGAAAAGTTAAAAAATTTGAGAAAGTAAAAACTGTTGAAAGGTAAAAGTCGTCTAACTGGGAGGTAAATGTTTGGATGAATCCCGCAGGCACAGATCAGCGTCTCTGTTCGAGTCCCCCGACGTCGTCCCGGTGAGTTCGTCATCAGAGAGACGTGACGTCCGGCTGCTGGACTTCCAGAAGACCTTCAACCAGCAGCAGCAGGTGTTCCTGCAGCAGCAACAAGGTACCAACGGGTCACAGAACCACAGTCGGCCCGACGTGTCCTGCCTGTTTTAAACGTTTGTTTCTGTGGCTTTTTAAAGACTGTTTATACGGAGAGGTAGTTCCCCCGCCGAGCAACGGAGGGTTCGAATCGAGTTACTTCTCAAACCCGCCTGCCTCTCACTCCGCAGGTGAGTCAGAACTCAGACACCGACCCTTCAGTGAGTCCCTCAGCCGGTGCTGAACGAGGTTTACCGGTTTCTCCCTTCAGGTTTCGACCTGCTGCAGGACCTTCAGGGCCAAGCGGAGGACAGGTACGCCTCGTCTCCCTGCCCGGAGGACGGCTTCCTCTTTCAGACGGGAGGGGTCGAACGCTGCCTCAGTCAGTTTTACTCCATTTACCTGGACTTGTGATGGAAAACCAACATAAAGGAAGTAAAATAAAAAAACAAACTGAAAGGACGTGTGACCCAAGCCCATCTACTGTACGACACGCTCCAAGTTTCAGGAACAGTTTGTCTCGATGTTCTCAGCAGATTTTAAATCTTAAAACAGGAAATCTAACATTATAATTGTATACTGCGGTTTATTGTGCCTTTATGATCTGGATACATCTAGTTTTCTTCCCTTACGACACAATTTACAGACTAACAGCTCTAATCTGAGCTCCTCCTGACGATGGAGCTCCTCGTCACATCTTCAAAGCTTGAAGGAAGCTCGTTTTAGCCGCTTGTATCCAGGATCCGGTTCTGTCTGTGATGATCCAAACCTCCCAGGATGGACCAGACATCTCTTCGATTGGCCTCAAGAGTTTAGTTTACGCTGCTGCCTTATTTCACATCCATGGAAAGAAACTCCTTTAGCCGTTTGAAACAGTTCTCAGTCTTCATGCTAAGCTAAGCTAACCAACTTCAGCCTCTTTATACGAACCAAGAGAATTAAAGTTTTGATTCAGGGTCACAAACTCGGTTTATTAGCAGCCAAAATCACAGTGAACTCGTTTCCAGACATGAAACTGAACCTCTGCTGCCCTCTGGTGTCTGGATGAATGTATTGAAATAATGTTACAAAAAGGGTAAAAACAAAAAATAATCTGCACTAAACTACAGTAAACTGCCTTATTTTTTACTTTTTAAACTGCATCTCATCGCTTTCAAGTGCCGCTTTTACATATTTCTTGTTACATGTTCAGTGAGAGGGAAACTGTTTACAAAAAAAAAAAACGTCTCTGGACACTTTTTTAAAGTTTATTCATAGAAAACTCAAAGGTAACAACTGACCAGAAAATGTTTACACTGATTTTAAAACGGATCAGAAATGTCTCGTTGTCACTGCACATTGTAAAGCGTGTATCTGTCTTTTATACCTAAATAAAAACACTTTTTATATTAATATTATTTCTTTTCATTTAATAAGGTTGACAACTCATAATTCAACCAGAACCAGAAAAAAATAATAAATAACAAGATTGTAGTTGTTGGAATATTTAATTTTCAGCTTATTTTTGCATTTTTCTTTATGAATATTGTTCATCTACACAGACTGGTGGTCTGCGGTGGTCTGCGGATTCAGACAAAGCTTTTGTTTACATTGAGTGCAGACCTGCATTTCAAAATTGCATCTGGAAGATCGCAGGTTGAACGACTGGGAGGTAAAGTTAGAGATGATTTGGACGTGTCCAGACGAGGGACAGTGTTTTGGTAGAAGGATGGGGGAAAGAAGAAGAAAAAAAGCCAAAGAAGGAGCTGTGTGAAGCTGACACCCCACCCACGTCAAAAAATCCATCAAATAGTCAGAATCGTTAGTGCTCCGTTTGTGCAGGTTTGTGCCGTTAAAAGTGTCGTTTGTGCAGTTGTGGTTTCCGAGATATTAAGTATTATATTTTTTGGTCATCTACTGTTCACCATCACCCCAGATCGCTCCAAAAACTAACCAAAGTGGGCTAGGTCGTTAGTGCTCCGTTTGTGCATGTTTGTGCAGTAAAAACTGTCGTTTGTGCAGCTTTTGTTTTCGAGATATTAGCGGTTATAATTTCGGCCGATGACGTCACCATTTCGGAGCGTGCTGGGGGGACGATGATGTCATCGCGTTAAAGTAAAAACTTGTAMTATCTCAAAAACTGTAACAGCACAAACGCTCATTTCTACTGCACTAACCTGCACAAATGAAGCACAAAAATAGTATAATGTTTTGGTTAATTTCGGAGGTTGCTGGGGGGATGGTGACGTCATAATGACCTAAAGACATAATGCTTAATATCTCAAAAACTATAACAGCACAAACGCTCATTTTAACTGCACAAACCTGCACAAACGAAGCACTAACCAATCTGCTTACTTGTTTGGATTTTTTGTGTGGGTGGGGTGTCAGCTTCACACAGCTCAAAGAAGGAGATAAAATCTCCTTTCAGCCACCAGGCGTCTCCACACAGCTGCAGCCACTCAGTTAAACTTTTTGCTCCACCAGATTCAAATCAGTCGCGTGAAACTGCAGCTGAAAGACTCGGATCAACGCTCCCTCGCAGGTAAACACTCGAACAACAAAACGACGCGGCCGCGCTTCCACATTCCACTCGGAGGAGGCACACCCTCGGACCGGAGCGAGGAGGAGGAGGAGGAGGAGGATCAGTTGATGGGATGCAGAGGAGACAGTTTGAAACCCTCCATCATCTGAGTGTCAGAGAGCTTCGGGCTGCAGCGGCTGAAGGTGAGAAAACTCATCACAGATCTTTTATTTGAAGTTTTGTTGTGTGTTTTTGTGTTAAACTGATTTTGTCTCATCTTGTTGTTATAGGCGGGTGGAAATCAGCCTCACTTTTTAGACAAACTTTCACCCCAAACTCATAGAATTAACATATTTAGATTATACTGGCACTAATTTTACTCCCTAACATTTTTAAAAAGCTTACCTACTTCAACCTTTTGAATCCAGAGTATCTTCTGCCTTGATTTACCTCCGTCCAGATGAACCGATGCGTCAAACCGTTATTTCAGAGGAGGCGCCGCCGCCACAGAGGAAGTAGCAGCTCACATTGTTAGCAAGTGAGATCATTCACGTTTGGATGAGGAGCTCTCAGTCTCGCTGAGGCCGTTACGAGGTCAGCCGGTGTCTTCCCTTATCCAGAGATGGGCTCGTCTCAACACAAGGCTGTCAGATCCCGACCTTTCCTCCCGTTATCAATCAAACTCTCTCTGGAATGAAGTTTATCTTCAGAGCTGAAGCTTCTAAAAGCTGCTCGGATAAAAAGGATGAACGTTTCAACTGAATGACTCCTCACGTGTGAAACAACAACAAAAATATCTCTGTTGTTCGTCACCAGCTGGAACAAACCCGTCCACAGCGTGCAGATCCTTTTCAGGCTAAAGAGACGATAAATGAAGGYGATGAAAATCTAAAAAAGTTGTAAGTTATAAGAAAAAAGCTCAGAATATGCTGCAGCAAGGCAAAACGAACAGGACGATTTGGCCTCTGGGAATCAGATTTGTGGTTTTTGAGTAGATTCGGGTCAGTTTGGAGCCCAAAATAAAGATTCAGAATAACAGTTTGGATCCAAACTGGGATCCATGACGACACTGGTGTAATGAGTGGGTGTGGACGAACTGAACCTGTGAAGACAAACAATCAGAAACTCCCTGCAAACAAACTGAAACCTAAAGACCTTAATGTGTGGAGTTTTTAAAACATCTTCACTTTTTTTAAGGAGCTAAACAAAATGAGATGTTTGTAAAGCAAACAAAGTCCAAAGACCCCAAGAACTATTGATCCAGACCACTTTACAACCTAAATCTAAAACAATATTAAATAAGATGATTCAAGAATTTTGCACAGTAATGAATGCAGTAAACAGCTGGGTTCAAAACAACACATTTTACAGCCCAAAACTGTCAAATCTGGACTGAACCAGGTTTTCTACCAAAACGTGTTTAAATGACTAATTTCTTGACTAAGTGCCACTAAAAACTAAACTGAAAAAGAACCCAATACTTACAACAGGCTATCTATCTCATGCTAACTGCTATAAGCATCAGCTAGCAGCAACTAGCATTATTGTAGGACACAAAACTCACTGCTTTGTGCAAATTAAAATTCAACTAAGCCAAACAGGACAAATGTCTTCCTACAGCTAATAACCAGTGGTGTGCAGCACTAATCTAAATATTAGTTCACTAACCCTAAAGCACTAATTCAAATATTTATGTCCCCTAATTCTAAAGCACTAATGCACTGAAAAATTTAGCAAAAGCCAATTCTAAAGCACTAATATAATCCAGTTGACACGTTTTTCAGAGTCACCATGAGACAATATTTACTGTGTGCAGATTAGTGTCACTTAGTGCCCTTGGTGGGCCAAATGGGAGTTACTCCCAGGCCACATTTTGGCCCGCGGGCCTTCAGTTTGACACACGTGACCTTGTAGATAAGTGACACACATATGAACAAAATGTGTGACAGCTTTCACCCTGTGAAGAATAATGTTGATCAATAACATGTAAAGAATTCAGTGCTTCTACAATTAGCCGGTAAATTTAGCAAGTGCTAATCCATTAATGAATTTTAAAAATAGCAAAACCCCTAAAGCACTAACCAAGAAATTAGATCCCCTTATTTGTGCTTTAGAGGAACTCTGCCCTCCACTGCTAAAACTTTAAAGTACAAACAACTTTACAGTTTAAAAAAAAATTAGAATTACAACTCAGGCTAGTTAGCTTGTGCTAATTATTATTAGCATAAGCTAGCTAGCATCAGCTAGCATTATTGTAGGACACCAAACTCGCTGTCTAATGCAAATTAAATTGATTAACAACGCAAATCAGGTGAAATATTTTCATACAACTAAAAACTTTAACGTAAAAAGGGTTTTAACTTAAAATATATGAGTTTCCTCACAACTAAGGCTAGCTAGATCCCGTCCAGAAGACCTACACAATTTTTTTCTTTTTGATTTTTTTACCTGGATTACTGAGATGCATCAGGACATAAGGTTAGCTAGGTTTTGCTAACCACTATTAGCATCAGCTACCTAGCACCAAATAGGACGCCAAACTCACTGGTCTAGTGCAAACTAAAACTGGTAACAAAGCCAACCAGGTGAAATATTTTTCTACAACTTGTTTTTACAGTTCTATGTTTACTTGTCAGAAAAACTACAGCAGGGCCAAAACTTTTTGACCTAATATTTAGTCAAAGCAACACAACTTTTGACCAAAACACTTTAAAACCATTAAACCTCCATCAAATCTTTTAAAGTTTTATTTATAGGGAGATACATCTAAACAATGTGATATTTTGATAAAGCAGCTAAAGTCCAAAAAAGACCTGAAGAACTGTTGATTACAAGATTAAAGACTCAAAACTCAATCAWTGAGACCTCCCTGACCTCCACATGTTTGACGTTGTGTTTGCTAAACGACACGTTTGTCACGTCAGCTTTAATGGAACCAGTAAATGGCTGCAGCTCAGATACAGTCAGCAAATAATAAACAGGAGATTAGAGCTCAATCAATTCACTCAAAGCTCAGAGCTTCTCTCCGTTTACGCTCACTTCCTGTCTTTGTTTAGGAACCGCGCTGCTCTGTTGAGCTTCCTGCGTCGTGTCAAAAGGTCAGTTTGTTGGATGATCCGCTCAGCTCAACTAAAACTTTCGTTTAAAGACAAAACCCCGGATGATATTTATAAGGCGCGGGACAAACTGCTGGTTTGTTTGCTTCAAAGTAAAATCTTATTTCTGAATGTTTGTTTAGACTCTGGATTGATCTGAACCCTGAGCTGCTCCCCGGTGATCCCCGTCACCATGTCAACCTTCACGGTCCTCACAGCAACCAGGAGTCCTCAGAGAAGCTGCTGAGCTCCTCTCTGCTGGCTTTCAYCAGCTCCGCCAAGGCAGGAGGCAGGTAAGGAGGCAGAGGAGGAAGAATCACTGCAGGGTATTTGTGGTGATGAAATCCTGCTTTGGTTCTTGTTTCAGACATGGTTTCTCTCTGGAGTCTTCTGCTGATTTCTACATGGCTGCTGAGAACCGGACCGGTTCATGGATGCGTCTGCCCGTCGTCAGCCACGGTTCTGTCCCGGTTTCCCTCCGAGGTCCCCGCCRGTGCGTGCTGCCTGAACTACTCGGGCTCTGCTTTCCGTCGCGTGCGCTGGTCCGTGTTGACGAACGGGACGGGCGTAGAAACCCTGGACCTCTCCAACTGCAACGTCAGCCTCATCGAGGCCGACGGCAGGGAGGCCACGGTGCTTCGGAGGCTTTACCTGGACCGGAACCGGCTGAAGACGCTGCCTCAGCGGTTTCTGGCGGGCCAGCTCAACCTGACCGAGGTGAACCTGAGCGAGAACCTCCTTCAGGAGCTTCCCGAGGGTTTCCTGCAGGACTCCCACAGCCTGCAGAGGCTGCACCTCCAGAGGAACCGGCTTCGCGCACTCCCAGGTTCGGTACTGAACCTGCCCGGTCTTCAGATTCTGGACCTGGACAGGAACCAGTGGGACTGCTCCTGTTTGTTCCTGGAGGACCTGGAGGCAGGCGGCAGGGCTAACAGGACCACCCAGTTGTACGACCTGGTCATGAACCTGACCTGCTCCAGTCCTCGGCACCTCCACGGCAGGACCGTGTGGTCCCTGCAGCCCGACGACGTCTGCCGCCCGGCGGGCCTCACCGCGCTCTTCATCGTGCTCCCCCTCCTCATCCTCTGCGCCCTGCTGCTCTGCTGGTGCTGCGGGAGGAAGAGGAGGAGGAAGAAGGAAACTCCCACTTTCAGCACCTCCAAGAAGAGGGCCGCCGGCTCCGGCTACAACGGCCACAAACATCCCAACAAGCCGCCATCTTCAATGGTGGCGGAGCTGGAGCGAGGGAAGGTGGGGATCCTGAAGAACAAGACGCTCCACCGTCCGGAGTCGGACCTCCTGGGCGGCGGCAAGGACGTCTACGAAGACGTGGAGGTCAAGCTGAGCTCCGCGGAGTCTCTGCCTCAGGTGTCCTCACGTCGCTCCAGCTCCACAGAAGAAAAACCTGCGAACCAGGAGCCCGACGGGACCAAYAAGGCCGAACTGGACACGGTCAGCGTGACAGAGGTGATGAAGGACTCGGCCGACAGGGAGAAGGCTTATCTGACTCAGTCCACCGAGTACTACAACCTGGTCCCGGGTATCGAACTGGAGGACTGGGACCACGGCGAGTACGAGAGCATTAACCACTCGTGACATCGTAAAATAAAAAAACATAAAGGTTGTCACATTATTTATGAAGCAACACATTTTGTGTCACAAAAACAATTTAAAAAAAATTGACCCGCACATTTTACGTGCAAGTTTTTACAAATATTTTTATTCACTGTGAAGTGCAACACGCTACTTCTGTTTCACTGTTTTTTTTGTTTGTTTTTTTGTTGTTGTCTTTGATGCTTGTCCTTGTTTCAGTTCTCACAAGATTTATAAACACTTTTAGTCATTTTTGAAGCACTGGAAAACTTAAYGCCTCTAAATTAACACAGATATGCAGAATAATTGCTTTCTAGTGTGTATGTATGGAGCTAAATTGATGCCATAAAGTTTGGTCAAAAACCAAAAGTTTTTTTTAAACTAAGAAAAGGGTTTAAAACTAAAAATATATATATTCAAAACTTACAAAAAAGCTGAATTGAAACAATAAAATTCTGATTGTGAATATATTTTTTCCACTGAGATTTGTGTTGTGTGTTGGAATAAGATAATTGTCATTGTACAGAGCACAATGAAATTACACTTTAGAACAGCCATTTAGAAGAAGACAGAACATAACAAACATAGGAGAACAGGTGCTCAGGGCCATGCATCCACAGGCACTGCACAGAGCAAGGATCATCTTCACGAAGACATTTGCGGCCCTCAGCTTGCTCCAGGAACCAGATCACAGATGAGGGTGAGRGGAGTGAAAGGTGAGGGGCAGACCCTCAGTCGACGTAAACATCCAGGAAGATTTAGTTCCACAGCTCAAGGCCATTGTAGGGGAGATCCAAATTTGAAATCAGTTGTTTGGGAATAGAAGAAAATGTTTTGGGTCAGGTAGACAATAAAATTTTCCATCTGCCTTCATGTCCGCTGGTACAACCTAATGTGGCGAATCCAATCAGACAAATAATRTGGACAAATCTCGCAGAGCTATCAGCTTTCTCCAAGATCAATTCCATCTCACCAGCAAAGTCCAGGGACCACAGCCGGCCCGCGACCCTCAGCAGAACTGCTTGCAGACCGAGTTCCAGCTCGCTTAAGGCAAAAGTCTGAGTGTTGATAGAACGGCAATCCTTCATATTGGTCAGGCAGCCAGGAAATGACCTGAATAACCACTGACGATTTGTGGAAACACCCGGAGACCACCAAGCCAATCTGTAGAAGTGACCAGAATCCAAATATATATCCAGAACAGAGCAGAACWSAGGTCCCACCTTTGACKTGTCCTCCCATGGAAGAAAACKTTGTTCCAAAAATTTATTACGAGACCAGCTAACCAAATCCATAAAAATAAAAATATCCATAATTTCTKGTTTTGGATGAAAAAGTAGAGAAGGCTCCRAGCAGCAAAGCARGGAAAATAAGRAWGGKCAGGAAAGAAGGAAAAATCGTCTTACTCCTCCAAGAGCAGAACAAAACAAAAAAAAAGAATAAGTAGCTTTTATCTGTGAATCATATTATTTTTCAAAACTGATCACATAACCATAAAATATCAATGTTTCCAGTTCCCACTTCCTGAATGCAACAGCTGGCCACTGTGTTGAGCTGTCAGTCATGATGCCACACCCGCTGTCATATGACACCACACACACACACACACACACACACACACACACACACACACACA